AACAGAAGACTGACCCAGCTGAATAAACCAACCAGAAAGAGAGCGCCGAGTGAGAGGGCAAGACGCCGAATCTGAATCACACCATGCATAGAGTTGAAGATCGCAATCAGTACGAAGATGAATCCCCTGGCCAGGAGAGCCTTTCAAATATCGAACCACACGCAGAGTAGAGTCCCAGTGAGCCTGACGCGGTTGATGCATGAATTGAGAGAGCATATGAACCGAGTAAGATAACTCAGGTCGAGTCACGACGAGATAGATAAGACGTCCGACTAAACGACGATATCGCTCGGGATCAGACAATAGATCATCCTTAGCAAGAGGGAGTTGATGATTCTGCTCTAATGGAAAATCAGCTGGCTTGCTCCCTAGTAGTCCGACCTCAGCAATGATATCAAGAGCATACTTCCGCTGACAGAGAAAGAAGACAGAAGAATTTCGGGCAACCACGATACCCAGAAAATACTTAAGCAGCCCAAGATCCTTCATGTGAAAACAACGACTCGAGTAACTCTTAAAGGCCGCAATGGATGTGGTATCATTCCCAGAAACGATTAGATCATCAACATAGACTAGGACCTGCAGATGGACAGAACCACGATGCAGTGTAAAAAGAGAGTAGTCGTGATAGGACTGACAAAAACCATACAGCTTCAAAGCCGTAGACAACTTGGCAAACCAGCAGCGGGGAGCCTGCTTCAAGCCATAGAGGGAACGACGAAGACGACAAACCTGCCCCTCAACGCCAGAGCAAAAACCAGGTGGACTTCATGTAAACCTCCTCAGCCAAATCACCATGAAGAAAAGCATTGTGAACATCCATTTGGTGAACTTCCCAATGCCTAGCAGCAGCCACAGCCAAGAATAACCTGACAGTAACCATCTTGGCGACGGGAGCAAACGTCTCATGATAGTCAAGACCTTCCACCTGATTATTGCCCAAAATCACCAAACGCGCTTTATAGCGCTCAATGGAACCGACAGACTTATGTTTGATCTTAAAAACCCACTTGCACCCAATCGCACGCTTTCCAGATGGAAGAGAAACTACATCCCACGTGCCATTATTCTCTAAGGCACGAATCTCATCCTGCATAGTGGTTCGCCATCGAGGATCAGTCACGGCATCAGCAAAAGTGCGAGGCTCAGCAGTGGAGGCGACAGCAGCCAAAAAGGCTCGATGAGTTGGAGAGAATGAATCACAAGAAACATAATGCGCGATGGGATAAGGCGTGCTGGAGGATGGAGACGACTGGAGAGAAGTAGTGGGGGTTACAACCGCAGGCCGGACAGTGTCAACCACAAAATCCTTCAACCGAGATGAAGGAACCTTAGTCCGATAACCACGACCTAAGGGCTCGACTGGAAGAGTGGGAGGGGTAATGGTAACGGAACCCCCCCTGTCGTCAGAAGTATCCATATCAGTAGCAGAAGACCCATTATCAGGAGAAACATGAGGCAAAGAGACAACCAGAAGATCCTCATCATCATCTGGCACAGAAGAAACCGGCACAACAAGAGGCGGTGGCAAAGAATCTGGCTCAGACGAGTCTGACTGGTCTGGGAATTCAGCCTCAAGAAACTCTACATCACGAGAGACAAAGAAAATCTGACGATCCAAATCATACAAACTCCATCCCTTTTTACCAAAAGGATAACCAACAAATAGACAACGACGACTCCGAGCAGCAAACTTGTCACCATTACGATCTAGATTATGAGCATAGCAAAGGTAACAAAAACCCGCAAATGAGACAAAGAAGGAGCCGAACCATAAAGAATCTCATATGGGGTTTTACCATGTAAAACTGAGGAAGGAGTCCGATTTATCAGATAGACCGCAGTCAAAACACAATGACCCCAAAAAGGAAGAGGCAAATGAGCCTGAAAACGCAAAGCACGAGCTACATTGAGAATATGT